CCCGCACGTCTTATCGGCCAAGCGGTGGCAAGTAGGTGGTGTCTCACTGGGCAAGTCGCACTTATGAAATATTCGTCTTTTTTATTCTATTTTTTTCATTAGTCACCTTGATTCTTCTTGTATAATACAACGTTTGCGAAGTGTCAGTAAACTCATACTCTTGTTGATGTGCATGATGCTGATTCTGCCCCCATCTCAAATGCCTTCTTCTTATCGTCTCAGATTTTGCGCTTTGAGCCAATTTTTAGGCTAAAGTTATCTGAAATGATGCACATTTGCAAACTATTGACAGTTTTCTCTGTTCACGTGCTAAACTTCTCATTGGAACTTAAACCTAGCAATGGTTCGTTGCTATTAGCAACGGAATTAGCTTCACCTGAACGACATGCGTTTATCGCAAATATAGATATCCTTTTGAAGAAGTGGCGTGGAAATGGTATACCTTTTTAAGCCCGAAATTGAGAAGAGAATGATACCGGCTTTGTGTTCCATTGAATATAGATATTTGATGTGGCATCATTTCGCCCTTCACCCTCACACGTAGCGCGTGTGAGTCCGGGTTGACTTCTGTGCGTAATCTGTTTCCTTGTTAACAAAATTGTGTTCATTTTCTACCCTTAGACAATTATTCACAAACACTGTTGCACAGAGCTCGTAATGATTTTAAAATGATGATCTTACTGCTGAATTTCTTTATTTTTTATAGGCCTTAATATGTAGGTGTCGTTTTGTTTGTGTATGCTTGTTGGTTTTCCCTGCTTGCTCTCTGTAGTTCGTCTATGCCCACCCATCATTGAACATAACTTGATGTAAAATCTTGCGACAAAATAAGTTGGCTATGTCAGTAAAGGAAACGACTTGCCTTTTAGCTGTCAATATAGCTGACCCATTCGTCATCCTGTGGGTTGCACTTGAGCCTTCCAGACATGTCGGTAGATTATCAAAGGCGAAATTGGTCCTTAAACAATATTTTAAGTAGCATGTGTGTTAAAGGAAAACAATCTAACTACGGCTTATTGGCATTGTCGAAGGTGTTGAACGCCTTACTGTTCTCTACATTTGAAGAATGATGAGGGAAATTGATTCCTTTCCCCCCCCCCATTTTATTCCACTCTCAGACCTGGGTGAGATTATTAATTTAGTTAAACCGAGTCTTTTATGATTCCCCTCTTGTTCTAACCCCCTTAGATTTGCGCTACGGCAGTAAGGGCCACCAACTAACTTTGAAAGACATGCCTGCCATTGGGTGGTGTCACTAGTCTTGACAATCTTCCGCCCTTACTCGCTTACTTCGTTTGGCAGCTCAGCATGTACAGTTGGCAGGGCGAAAGCGGAGCGTGGAGTTCGAGACGGTGGTGAAGGGCGGTGGCGATGTATTGCAGCGGTCACGTGTGAAAGGAGATGCCATAGTGGATCTCACCCCGAAGACTGCGCCACCGTCGCTCGTACCGTCTACGGTCGTCCGCTCTTCGTGGCCCTTGGCATGGTTGACCTCGTACTCGTCTAACTGGCACTGCAGGTCAGATTTCCTTATTTCCCCTATCCCTCCCAGAAGTTGGTGTCGGCTTTATTTCTTGAGTTTGTAGTATTCGTGCATTCGGTTATTTAATCTCTTCAGCTATATCAAACAAATGAGTGCAATTAACTAACGATAGGTCTTCAATCTTCTCAGTTATTTTCAAAATGGAAATCTGAAGGACCTTAGCATCGAGACGGATGCTTATTACTGGAAAGAATACCCGTCCAATCCTGCATGCGCATGGTGATACTTGTTGTTATAACCGTTAGATTGCAGGTGGTGCACTCAGACAGAAAGCCGCGTCAACGCCGAGTTTTGCGTGCCTGGGGCCGCTTAGGCACGAATATTGGCGGCTTGAGGGCAGAGCGCTTCGTCAGTGTGGACGCCGCTGTGCAGCACCTGCACAGCCTCCTCACAGATTAACTTAGCACTGTCAACAAAGGACGAAATTGCTGAGGATGCCAGAGGTACTGAGCCTTCCTACTGCTCCCCGCAACACAAATATGATGGAGGAACTAGTGTAGTTTTCTTCATTTTATGCCCTTTTAGACGCAAGTGTGATTATTAATTTTGTTAAACTGGTTATTTTATGGTTTTCTTCTTACTCAAACCCCTCCGATTTTCAGTCCGACGGCAAGGATCACCACCTAACTTTGAAAGACGCATGCCTAACATTTGTTGTTGTCACTACCCTTAATAACCTCCAGCTCATCACTCACTTCGTTTTGGCAGCTCGATGGGTCCAGTCGGTTGGGCAAAGGCGGTGAGCGGAGGCTGAGACTACGGTGGGAGGCTCCACTCAGTTACTTAGTATGTTTAATTTTATATTGAACGGAAATAAGTGCAGTTAACTAATTACGGCACTTTAATCTTAACAGTTATTCTGAAAGCTGAAATCTGAAGGACTAAGCAGTGAGACGGGTGCTTATCACAGAAAGGAATACTTACTCAATTTCGCATGCGCATGATGATAGCTGATGTTGGTAACTGTAGCAGTTAATTTAATCATCCCTGTCCTCCACATTTCTTCTACATACGGCACAACTGCTATTTGTTAAATAACATGCAGCGGTTACCGCTATAACCGTTTTGCTCAGACGAGAGTTTGCGTCGACAGCGTGGTTTGCGTTCCTGGGGTATCATGGGCACGCGAATCGGTGGCTCGAGGGTGGGGCAACTCGTCAGTCTCAATGCCGCTATACAGTGCTTCCACGATGTCTTTCTCAAGAAGACTGCTAACTCCTAGGTACCGAGCGTGCCAATTTTTTTCAAATTGCAACTTCATATTTTCTTCCCAAGCTGGAACAAATTGATCCTAAGGTAGACAATATCATACCGTCTCTATGTTGCTATTTTAATGTACCACGTATCTACAATTTAAGCCCAGACTTTTGTTATGCATTGGCCTGTTTGATGGAGAACTGTCTGGTGTTGAACTCGAAATATGGATGAAATGGCGAAGGCTGCTGAAAATAACCACTCTAGAGTTTTACTGTTTAGTTTGCAGCTCTGCCATCGTTATGCAGCCTTCGTCCTTTTGCGAGTGTATTCTAATGTTATGAAACAACTTGTGTTTGTAAGGTGAAAATGTTATCGTGAATATCTTATCAAGGCATCATGGCGTGTAGTATACTTTTTTTCTAATTTGGTGCAAATTTATCTGTGGGTAATTTGTTGCTTCGAGAGCGCTTCGTTTCATAGAAGCTTGCAGCACGGGTGGTTTCTAAGCCTCTCTTACATGTGTACGCCTTTCAGCGCTTCTCTGCATCATTCTGAGTAAATCAGAATCTCAGTGCATTTTTAGAGATATTTGTAAGGATTTCTATGACCATCCTATCTCGTTTCACGGAACGATGAGACCGTTGAAAAGATAAAACTCATGCATCAGGTGTTAATCGAGTTGGGAACTCGACGTTAGAAGCTCATTCCTTTCCCTTCCGACATCGCCTTAATGCCTGATGCCCTGTTGGAGTTTGAGGTCGGTCTTGACTCACAAAGGGTTCGAGCATGCATCCCAGTTTGTGTCCTTTTTAGGTAGATGTTACGGTAATGCCATTGTGGAGGATGTCACGAGTGCAGATGATTCAGGCAACCTATGGTGTTTAAGCGATTTCTAACTTACTAGCTTCAAAAATTCCGATCAAAGGGCTAGACATGAGTAGCCTGATTGGCAGCACAATGCGCTTTGATGTGCGTATTCTGCACGACTTTGGTCTGAAGGTGCTACCCTTGTTGCACAGCTTGAAGGTGATGGAGACCAAGTCTCGAATGTTAGATGGATGAATAATCTGGATGTAGCCTATTTCCTTATGAAGGCTAGTGTCTCCGGCGTCAACCATCTTGATGAGCACTATGAGGAACTCAAGAATCAGATTGAGGTCTGTACATTGAGCTTTTTCAATCATTTTAATGGTCAATGTCTTAGCAGCGACTCTTTTCTGATTATACCGTCAGACCCTCATCAAGACCTGGAGAAGTTTGAACGGATTGTGGACTACCTGTAAATCATCCACGCTCCAACGCATTTCATCCATGCTGCGGAGGTAATAGACACCTTTTTTGAGGGAGGGGAGTCGAAGCATATTAAAGGCGCTAGACAATCGCATGATGCTCTGGCGCGGTTCTCGTCGCACAGACCGGACAGGCATTCTGTGGGTACTCTTCTTCCACTTAAATCTATTTAAGCAACTATAATTGCTGCTCTGTGAGCCCCTCGTCCTTCTTGCTTAGTAGGGCACAAGGTTTGCAAATGGCACCTTATGAGGCGCCTTCGACAGGGTATTTGTTGAGCAAGGGCGCCTGCTTCTCTGACGTGGCGAGCAAATCCACTGATTACTGTTGTACGTCGCCCACTGCCTCTCAGGGCTGCCTTCTCCTCTGTAAAGTGGCTGTCAGTAAAACTCACAACTGTTTCGCTGCCAGCATTACCCGAGCCTTCAGACAAACTGGCAGTCGCAGAGGTAAATATGTGCCTTTTCAAGCTGTTACTTTGCTCGAAGAGTGTGTCAACCTTCTTTTATATTTATTGCCCCTTGGCAAGCATGCCTACTTGAATATTATGTGACATGTTTTGAGTTCAACGTTTGCAGTTGTTTTTTTAATTTGTTCGTCAAATTACGCCGAACTATGAAATTAAACCCTACAATAGCAATCTTTGCTGTTATAATCTTACTAAAAACCATTTCGTCCAAGTCGGGCGACATAAGTTTGCTTGAAGGAAGTTCCTGTTGGATTGCCTCAACATCAGGTACTGCTCTCCTCTAAAGGGGTCATACGCAAAGATTGTTACATTAAGACAGGTACTTTTTCCCTAGACAGTTTCTCGCAGAGATTAGGGAATTCCCGTAATGTGGCATGTCTGTAGGTAAATTGAACTGGTAACTTTATCGAAGCAATTTGCTTTCATCAATTTAAGAGGTGTGAGTGCAATTGCGCTGAACGCGGAGACGTGCTTCGTGGAGCCGGGGACAGGTGTTGTCGACCCCATTGATTAGCCAGTGACGTCTGCAGAGATGAGAAGCGACCTTCTGTGCAGTGAGTACATTATTGTTATCCAACACCTCTCAAGTCAACATTAACTTCAATTTCCAAAGATCGCGATGAACATGAACAAGATTTTACTCCCTAATGTTGGTGCTATTAAAACCATTAATAATAAAATTGTCGCATTCAGTCAACGTTGTCTTCAC